AAGCACCTACCCACCACCTCCCCACCGAGCCGGCCGAAGCACCTACCCACCACCTCCCCACCGAGTCGGCCGAAGCACCTACCCACCACCTTCCCACCCAGCCGGCAGAAGCACCTACCCACCACCTCCCCACCCAACAGACCGAAGCACCTACCCACCACCGCCCAACCGAGCCAGTCGAAGTCCCTACCCACCACCTCCCCACCCAGGCGGCCGAAGCACTTACCCACCACCTCCCCACCGAGCCGGCTGAAGCACCTACCCACCACCTCCCCACCGAGCCAGCTGAAGCACCTACCCACCACTCCCTACCCAGCCGGTCGAAACAACTACTCACCACCTCCCCACCGAGCCAGCTGAAGCACCTACCCACCACCTCCCCACCGAGCCGGCCCAACCACCTACCTACCACCTCCCCACCAAGCCGACCGAAGCACCTACCCACCACCTCCCTACTGAGCCGGTCGAAGCACCTACTCACCACCTCCCTACTAAGTCGGTCGAAGCACCTACCCACCACCTCCCAACCGAGCCGGCCGAAGCACCAACCCATCACCTCCCCACCGAGCCGGCCGAAGCACCTACCCACCACCTCCCAACCGAGCCAGCCGGAGCAACTACCCTCCACCTCCCCACCGAGCCGGCCGAAGCACCTACCAACAACCTCCCCACCGAGCCGGCCGAAGCACCTCCCCACCGACCCGGTGGAAGCACCTACCCACCACCTCCCCACCGAGCCGACCGAAACACCTCCCCATTGAGCCCGCCGAAGCACCTCCCCACCACCTCCCAACCGAGCCGGCCGAAGCACCTCCCCACCACCTCCGCACCGAGCCGGCCGAAGCACCTACCCACCACCTCCCCACCGAGCCTGCCGAAGCACCTACCCACCACCTCCCCACTAAGCCGGCCGACGCACCTACCCACCACCTCCCCAGCAAGCCTTTCGAAGCACATCCCCACAGACCCAGCCGAAGCACCTACGCAACACCTCCCCACTTAGCTGACCGAAACACCTACCCACCACTTCGCCATCGAGCCGGCCGAAGCACCTCTGTAGCGAGCCGAACGAATCAACTACCCACCACCTCCCCACCGAGCCGGCCGAAGCACATACCCACCACCTCCCCACCGAGCCGGCCAAAGCACCTACCCACCACCTCCCCACCCAGCCAGCCAAAGCACCTACCCACGACTTCCCAACCGAGCCGGTCGAAGCACCTACCCACCACCTCCCCACCGAGCCATACGAAGCACCTACCCACCACCTCCCCACCGAGATGACCGAGGCACCTACCCACCACCTCCCTACTCAGCCGGTCGAAGCACCTAGCCACCACCTCCCAACCGAGCTGGCCGAAGCACATACCCATCACCTCCCCACCGAGCCGGCAGAAGCACCTACCCACCACCTTTCTATCGAGCCGGCCAAAGCACCTACGCACCACCTCCCCACCCAGCCAGCCAAAGAACCTACCCACGACCTCCCATCCGAGCCAGCCGAAGCACCTACCCACCACCTCCCCACCCAGCCAGTCGAAGCACCTACCCACCACATCCCCACCGAGGCGGCCGAAGCACCTACCCACCACCTCCCCACCGAGGCGGCCGAAGCACCTACCCACCACCTCCCCACCGAGCCGGCCGAAGCACCTACCCACCACCTCCCAACCGAGCCAGCCGGAGCAATTACCCACCACCTCCCCACCGAGTTGGCCGAAGCACCTACCAACAACCTCCCCACCGAGCCGGCCGAAGCACCTCCCCACTGACCCGGTGGAAGCACCTACCCACCACCTCCCCACCGAGCCTGCCGAAGCACCCACCCACCACCTCCCCACCGAGCCGGCCGAAGCACCTACCCACCACCTCCCCAGCAAGCCTTCAAAAGCACATCCCCACCTTCCCAGCCGAAGCACCTACCCATCACCTCCCCACTGAGCTGACCGAAACACCTACCCACCACTTCGCCACCGAGCCGGCCGAAGCACCTCCCTAGCGAGCTCGACGAATCACCTACCCACCACCACCCCACCAAGCCGGCCGAAGCACCTACCCACAACCTCCCCACCGAATCGGCCGAAGCACCTACCCACCACCTCCCCACCCAGCCAGCCGAAGCACCTACCCACGACCTCCCAACCGAGCCGGTCGAAGCACCTACCCACCACCTCCCCACCGAGCCGTACGAAGCACCTACCCACCACCTCCCCACCGAGATGACCGAAGCACCTACCCACCACCTCCCTACTCAGCCGGCCGAAGAACCTACCCACCACCTCCCAACTAAGCCGACCGAAGCACCTACCCATCAGCTCCCCACCGAGCCGGCCGAAGCACCTCCCCACCACCTCCCYACCGAGCTGACCAAAGCACCTACCCACCACCTCCCCACCCAGCCGGCGAAAGAACCTACCCCTGACCTCCCCACCGAGCCAGCCGAAGMACCTACCCACCACCTTCCCACCCAGCCAGCCGAAGCACCTACCCACCACCTCCTCACCGAGCCGGCCGAAGCACCTACGAACAACCTGCCCACCAGCCGGCTGAAGCACCTCCCCACCGACAAGGTCGAAGCACCTACCCACCAGCTCCCCACCGAGTCGCCCGAAGCACCCAGCCACCACCTCCCTACCGAGCGGGTCGAAGCACCTCCCCACCACCTCCTCACCGAGCCGCCCGAAGCACCTCCCCACCACCTTCCTACCAAGCCGGTCGAAGCACCTACCCACCACCTCCCCAGCGAGTCGGCCGAAGCACCTACCCACCACCTCCCCACCGAGCCGGCCAAAGCACCTACCCACCACCTCCCCACCGAGCCGACCGAAGCACCTACCCAGCACCTCCCCACCAAGCCGGCCGAGGCACCTCCCCATTGAGCCCGCCGAAGCACCTCCCCACCACCTCCCCACCAAGCAGGCCGAAGAACCTCCCCACCACCTCCCCTCCGAGCCAGCTGAATCACCTACCCACCACCTCTCCACCGAGCCGACCGAAGCACCTACCCACTACCTCCGCACCGAGCCGGTCGAAGCACCTACCCACCACCTCCCTACCAAGCCGGCCGAAGCACATCCCACCGACCCGGTCATAGCACTAACCCACCACGTCCCCACCGAGCCAGCCGAAACACCTACCCACCACTTCCCCATCGAACCGGCCGAAGCAACTCCCGACCAGGGCGCCCGAATGACCTACCCACCACCTCCCCACCGAGCCGGCCGAGGCACGTACCCACCACCTCCCCACCGAGCTGGCCGAAGCACGTACCCACCACCTCCCCACCGAGCCGACTGAAGCACCTACCCACCACCTCCCCACCCAGCCAGCCGAAGCACCTACCCACCACCTTCCAAC